AAAATAAAAAGTTTATTGAATACAAAATAAATCATATAAAGTGAACAAACGATTCGTTTATTTAATCAAATACTAAATTATTATTGAGTTTTCGGGCCATTGCTATGAAATACGTGTAATTAAAGACAATCTCTTTAGCAAACAAGTCGTTGGTCTTTAAAATAGCCGACAATTTCTCTCTGATCTCTCGCCGGAAGAGTTGTGCGGACTCTGTGTCCGCTTTGACCAATTGCTGGAATGAAGACCACGACTCTATGAGTCCCACCATATCTTCGGCCAACACTGGGACGGAAGCGATGATATGGTCGACGTGTTTGGACTCATAATTTGTGGGAAACGTCACGTTCTTGTAGTGGTTCTCCACAGACGCCACATTCGGTGACTTATAAGCGGCCAATCGGTCGCTATTATAGCACTCTTGCATCAGATCCACGAGACTCTGATCGCGATTGGGCTCTAAAGGGTCGGACGGGTCGGGTATGAAATACCCGATGACTGCCAGCACTCCGTTGTCGACCAGCACTCGAGTGCACTCTTCCATAAACTTCTTGTGATCGAAATACTGGAAGCACTCGAAGGCAGTGACCATTTGGACACTGTTTGTCTCAATCGATGGCATACTCTCTGCCGGACATACCTTAAGAAAAGGCAAAAACAATTGCTATTAAAATCAAAATACATAACAAAAAGCCAACGCATGGGTCGGGCGGACGAGTAGTGTCTGTGACAGACCTGATAGCAGACATTAGAGGGATGTGTTGAGCGGATGGCGGCCTCGATCTGTGCGGGACTCACGTCAAAGCCATAACAGTTGGCAAAGTGTTTGGCCATAGCATTGGTTCCCTGACCGCTACCGCACCCGACGTCCACAGCTGTCGACCAGCGATTGGTATTATCTTCTTCGACATCTGCCGGCAGTTTATCGGCCAAATACTGGACCACTTTGTCCACCACTTCTTCGGGAACCGCTGGTCTGAATCGGACGTAAATGTCTGCGTGAGCTTTGCCTTCAAATATACGGACAGACATGTCATGTGTTTCGGTGTCTCTCTATCGCAATACAATCCTCTTCTTCCTCTTCTTCACCACAACAAGACTTTTGGATCTGTTTTTGTGATCAAAAAACACAACAAAAAAGTCCAAAAACTAATTACAAAAAAGTTTTCAAAACTTGTTTTTCTCGCAATCAAAACAAAACTCGCATTCAATTCACACTTTTGTTTATGAATGAATGCATTATACAGCGTAATTAAATTAATCGGGACATCCCTGGGCGCTGACATTGTCATAACATGTGTGAGTTGCTGAGCAACACAATACAACTTTTGTTGAAAACCGTTGAAGACAGCAATAGTTGTATTGTGTTGCTCAGCAACTCACACATGTCATGACAATGTCAGCGCCCAGGGATGTCCCGATTAATTTAACTACCCTGTACTATACTCAATGCACTCAATACAGGCCTAACGTAAACTCTGTCCACAAATGATGTCACTTCAAGAATATGTGATGCAATATAATTGTGTGCATTTTGTTGCAAGTTATCATTGTTTTATATTGTGTGAAAGGATCTAGTTTATTTTACATTTATCAACATGCATATGAAGTATTAGAGTATTCACATTTAATAATAGTGTTTTACCCTCTGTTATGAACCTATTTATTATATAAAATACTTGATATGTATTTCTAAGCATATCCGGAGGTGTGGGGAGAGATTGTGGGCACATATCATATAATGCCTCCACTATTCCTATCGTTGGGTACATTACATGAGATAAGAGACTAATAAAATCAGTGTTGATAAGTGTACACAATTTGTGCATAATTAACATAGATTAATGTATTTCACATATTGTAATCATTTATAATTATATTGCTAAATTGTTATAGTTAAATTATAATTCATATAAGTGAATAGTTACATTTGTATATTTGTAATTAATAATATAGTTAGCGGGGAGTATATGTCGAGCGATGTAAATGGACAGAATATTCATGAAATTCATGTAATAAATGTTTTATTGAAAAAATAGTAAAAATTAAAATGAGTTACGAAATAATTAAATGTAATTAGATATTTTATTGATAATTTTAATTAGCTTTTAATGATATGAAATAGTTATATATTGCGTTAAAACCTTATGTTATTTATATTTAAAATGCAATATTCAATTCACAATTTTTGCAGACATCATGTGATAAAATGCTTATAAAATATATTATTTTAAATTTAAATTTTACAAATTACAAGTTTTTTATGCTGTCTTACAGCGTGTGTTTATTTTAGATACAAGTATCTAAAATATATGTCTGTTTAAATTGAAAATCATGCAATTATCAGTCGATAGAGAATTGAGTCCACAAATTGATTACATGTTATTTTAATTGATTTAAAAATAATTCACTGAAAATCACAAAAAAATTATCTAAAATAATCTCATTTTGAAAAACAACATCTATTATTCAATAGCATAATGGGATTGCATTAAGACAATAGTAATAACAATTATTATTTAACTTTTCTTGCGATTGCTATAAAATAATTGTATCTAAAATCAATTTCCTTCGCCGATAGATCACTGATTTTGAGTATAGACTTCAATCGGTGTATCACTTCCTGTGTGAGCAACTCAGCCGTCTCTCTATCAGCGTTTTGCAGGCCTTGATATAGTGACCACGACTGCACATAACCCACAATGTCTTGCGCCGCCACTCGTTTCGACGTCCAGTTATTGTCCTTAAGACTCATCTCGTAATTATCGGGAAGTTTGATGTCTCGGTAGTGTCTCTCGAGGGGCACTATCTTTGGATTCTTGAACGGCGCTAACCTCTCGTCGGTGTACAAGTCGTACATCAGTTCCACTAGACTTCGGTCGTCCGGATTCCAGGGGTCGATGGGTTCCGGATAGTTATAGCCTATCATTGCGAGCACACCATTAGGGCACAGGACTCGAGTGCATTCAGTCGTAAACGAGTCAAAATCAAACCAATGCACGGCTTGGAAAGCTGTCATCAGTTGTACACTATTGGACTCAATTGTGGGCAAACTCTCTGCCGGACACACCTGTGGTGTCGAGGATTTAAAACATATGTTAATTAATTTATACATTGAAATATACACTCACGGCATAGGAAACATTGTCCGGATGTTGAGTGGTGTTGGCGGCAGTGATTTGGGCCGGACTCACGTCAAACCCATAACAGTGGCCAAAATGTTGCGACAATTTATTACATCCCTGTCCGCTACCGCAGCCCACATCCACCGCCACTCGCCAGCGGTCTTCGGGGATCTGTTGGCGCAGATAATCCAACACAACATCAATCACTTGGTCGGGTGCAGAGGGTCTGAACTGGGCGTATATGTTGGCGTGATTTGTGCCCTCAAATATACGAACAGACATTTGTCATATATTTTATGTGTCGAAAAAAATCCGAGAGAGAGAGAGAGAGAGAGAGAGAGAGAGAGAGAGAGAGA